TGTTACCACTTGCTTAATTGGCTTTTCACGCAAGAAAATAGAGTACCACGGTACTTTATTACTAAGCATCTGCTAGACAGTGGTCACTTTGTCGACCTCAAAACAGCTTTTCGAGTACTTATTCGAGCACAAACAAATCAGACCCTGTGCTACTTGGAAGTAACCTATATACGTTGGAAGAAACCTGACCTATGCAAACAGCTAGACCACGTGATCAATCTTCAATTACCCTAGTAATCGGGTGCCTAGATGTAAGCCCGACTGTGATTGGTGTTAACTTGCTTCCCTCTTTTCTTTCCTATATGCTGGTTTAATGTAGTGTCCTGCAGCTGATCATTATTTGCAGTTAACTGTGATCCTTGCAGTTATGCATTGACTTTATGCAAACATTCAAACTGCTCAATGCTTCCATTTGTTGTGCTGTTTTCAGTGTTCAGGTGGAAGGGGAAGAGAGGGGGGCGCTGGTAACTGCAGTTTCCACGATTCCGACCGTCAGCGATCCCTGGCCACTCAGGAAAGGCCAAGGCCATATACTCCGTCGACCGCCGTTAAAATAATGGGGAAACATAAACCAAGTTCTGTTCAGAAGGACAAGGTAAGATAAACCAGCAGGGAATCTTTATTCCACATATATGTTGACTCAAGCAGACGTTAAGCGTCTGTGATGCAGTTTACGTTCCGCTAACAAAGCACACGCGCGCCAGCGCCAGCATCAGAGACTGTGTACGTGTTTAGGGTGGTTCAACTTGACGAACGTGTTTGTTGGAAGGTGCTTCGGCATGGCGGGATGCGACTTAACTGACAGTGACGAGCAAGTACAAGTAGGGGCCTGGAGTGGACTAAATTCATGATGGTATACGCCAAGATCAGCATCGTTACATGCCCAGCAAGGCGGGACGACTGTCCTACGAAATCCTTATTCGAGGATCCCTTGGAAGCCCATTGTCAGTGCGATCGTCAGGCCCGGTTCTGTGAGGAAAGAAAAGAAGGGAGACGCCAAATGGTAGGAGTGGTGTATGCTGTACAGAGGAATTGGAGAGTCGGTAGGAAGAATTTGATTGTCTGACAAGGGTACGTTCACTCGTGAAAGGGCAGTCGTCTCAGCGTCCACAGAGAGCGGTTTTCTTATGAGTCATTCTTTAAGGTGATTGGTCAGACCGGAGTAGGCAGAAACTAGCGCATGCGCACTCGTTAGCAGCAGTCAGCGTCCACGTGGAGTGGGGTTATCGCAGAAGGTTAAGGAAGTTTAACCGTGCAACTGCGATCTTCAGACCATGGTTACTTAG